TTGTCAACTAACTAACCGAATATTAAAAAGTAAAATTTTCTTATATTTTCAGCTAATTAGGTAAAAAGGAAACTTTCTAATATTCGAAACTACGTAGATAAAAAAATCTAATAGTTCAAACAAATTATAATGTAAATTAAGAAAGAAAATATAGAGAGTTTAAAAAGTTAAAAAACAAAAGTGAAGAGAAAATAAATTTTAATTAATAAAAATCTAATTAATAAACATAAAATACGAATGATAAGACAAAAGATATGATATATATATATTAAAAAAAATTAGAAAGGATATGTGATTTATCAAATTAATTTTTTTAATTTAGTTATATAATATTTGAACTGTTTTTACGATTCTATTACATAATTAATATATACTCATTACGTTTGTTTTTAGTGATGTTTTAGAAGATTTTTTTTTTTCAAAGTTATGTTTTCAAGTTTCTATGCAAAATTAATTTTGATTTTGTTGTTTTAGAGTATTTAAATTATGCATATTTGTTTTTTTATTGGTTAAAGTATTTTAGGTAGATAAAAATCGATTTTTTATTTTAGGAAACAATAAAAATTAACTAATTTCTTAATTAGAGTGCATAAACCTTAAACATCATCTATTTACAAACATAGAGTTTTATTATTCATAAGAATTTTTATATTTACTTATATATATGAGTCTGGATATGAATTATGATATTGGAATTAATATATAAATTGATCTTTAATAATTTAAGACTTATGTTTAAATAATATTTTAAAATATTTTTGTAATTCATCAAATAACTAAATAAAATTTAAATATTTATATTTATAGTTTTTGATGTGTTTATCTGGGTATTAATGCGGATCCTAATGTAATAATTGATAAAGCATGAGGGTTAGATCGGTCGTTGAAGTCTTGAGTGTGGTAACATGACGAGATGGATATTGATCAAGAAGACAGATGGAGGAGTACGTTTCTACTTTCTTGGACGGGTCATAATTATGTGGACAGAAAGAAGTGTCTTGTACTACGTAGTGTCATGTCAATGTCCCAAAAACAAATGCTAACTCCCACAAATCTTGGTTAGAACTTAAAAGTAAAACCACTTAATAGCACGAAAAAGAACAAAAAATTGGGCCGATCATTTAAGCCCAATTCAAAGAACGTGGAAAGATTATATGGATTTGTTGGATAAAAAATCTGGAAAATGAGAAATGAACTCCATTGCTGATGTAATTAACCAATCACTAATGGATTTTACTATTTGGCAAGAAGCATCTAAGACTAGGGGTGTCAAAATTAGTTATTATCCGTGGGTTATCCAAACCCGCCTATAATTTTAGCGGATATGGATTGAATATTTTTACCTATATATATAAATGAGTTCTGGTGGGTTACTCCATTAGGGTTATGAGTTTAATGGGTAAACCCATTTGGGTTCTTGGTAACCCACGGGTTTTTC